GATAGATAGATAGATAGATTCAAACATAATGCTTTGAAATCAATCAACAGGGGAACAATGTAAACATCAATCTACATTGAGAAACCATATCTGTTAGTATTAGGAGCTCAGATGAAAGTATCTGATGTCATGACTGTTGTCTCACAGCAGTGATTCACAATGAGACTGTGGGTTCATCATCATGCACCCTCCCACTGAAACCTGTCAAGCAGCAACTGTTTGCCACAAACCCACTGGCACACACACTCTCCAGTCACAACACCAGCACGTTCAGAAACCAGTCGCTCCGGTTTTAACAATCGGGTTTTACGACCAAAAACAACAACCGCCAATATATCCCAGCTGCCTTATTTCCTCGTGTGATGCTGCATATGGTTCATATTGTGGCTGATTAAAGCAACACAACCAAAGACGTGTTACTTAATGTGAGGTCTGTGGATAAATACAAGCAGGCAGTGACTGGAGATAAATTCTAATGCTGAGGGTCCTGTGATGTAGTTCTTAAAGAAACATCAGAGATGTGCTCATACAAATTTAAGTTAATAAATGTTAATTGCAAAATTATAATAAAAGAAGTCTTAAGGGTCAGAAAGAACAGCCTGTTCTGCAAATTGTTCATTTTGTTTTAGTTTTCTCTCATGTTTGCTTCAATTCTGTTGAAATAATGGATAGTTTTCTCTCTTTGGACCTCTAAAAATCCTTCAAAAAGACAAATAAGAGGAGGAGGAACAAATCACTTTGTAACTGAATTGCTCACCAGTGATGATGAGGAAGTCACAGGTAGACATGGCTTCATTTTAAAGGGCCGACAACTGGGGTTGTGCCGGTGCTGGTACCCAAAGGTGCCTTTTTTCTGTACTTTATGCTCACTCTGTAATAACAAAAATGTCATTTCAGTTGGAAATAATATGTGTAAACTCACTACCGCAGTGCTTGTATCCTGTAGTATTCTTCTGCAAACAGTATGCAATTCAGATACTACTGGTTTTATAATAAGGTTTCTGACAAAAAAAATCTCATAACGCTACAAAAAAATCAATAATCATGTCAAGTTGATCAGCACACCTGCCAACCTCCAGACATTAGAGCCCCAATCAGGAGAGCAAACGTAACCAGGGTATCTTCCCAATTACATTCAGGATTTTTTACAGGTTATTAACCTAATAATAACCTCTTGGTAATTATGATAAAGTTTCAGAGCGACAGAGACTCCAACCAAGACACTGAGAAAACACTTATCTCCAGCAACAACTTATCCATCAAGCTAATTCATTACCTGAAGATGTCGATGATGAAGAGGACTTAAAGTTTCGTCATACGTGGAGGGTTCAACTTCGCATTAGCTGTAAGCTATCAAACATGGTAAGGTTACGCTCAGCTTTTAGATATATCAGTACCCTTCAAAGTATCTAGTTCTTGGCTCTTTGAAGCTGCCTTTAGATGATAGGAAATTTGCTCTATGCTCACTGTGATGTAGCGCACCGATCTTAGTGCAGAGGCAGAGCAAAGCGCAGGTATGTACGTCATTAAAAATGCTAAGGTAACTTTAGTATTGGATTTAGCTGAATTCATAATCTGAACAGGTAGCCCAATCTGGCTGCTGATATTGCACCATGCATTAT